TATATATATATATATATATATATATATATATATATATATATATATATATATATATATATATATATATATGCTTAAATAGCTTATGCATATACATAAAGCAAGTGATTTTACAATATCATAGTATCAGCAATGTAACTAATACGTATATTACAAGTAATTAATGTTTTTTACAAGCTCTGGTATTATATGTATAACTTTATGAAAAATCAGTTTATGAAGAAGTGGTAAGAAATGTATTTTACTATTTGTTTTATACATCTATAATTTTGTATTTTGCCTAGTATCAATTTTAAATCTACACATGATAATGTATATTATATCATAAATGATAAATCTCATACTGTAGAAATAAATTTTTATTATACAAAGAAAGTGAATTCAACAAAGCATTCACCACAGCCGTTATCTTTCATTTAATAACATCGTGGGTTCGTTCAACAAAATACATCAAAGCCCGATTGTGAAAATTCTTTATGGAGAGATATATGAAGTGTTTTATACAATATTTCATACAAAAACAATCCTAATTCAACCCTCATATGTTGCAATGTTATATTGTTAATGTATCAGATGACGAACAAAATTCGCAATCTATAAAGTTAACGCACTGGTAAAAATTTTGTAAATGCGTTATCATCAGAGTCCACGCAATGTGTTGATAAATCTAATATCGCTTAGAAAATACAGTTGTTTATTTCGGTTAAGTCAGAAATTATATATAATCTCAAGATTTTCTTTGTGTGTGTCGTTAAGCAAATCATAAAAATGTTTCTAAGTAAAGCCCAAAATTATGGGTAATTTCTGACTTTATCGAATACGATTAGGCGATGTCTATATTTTTTGAATTACCATCTCAAGTCCACTAACATTTCGGGCAATACACATACATGTGAGACATTCACAGTTATTACTAGATAAAGAAATAGCTATCCCAATTGCTGTCATTCCAGCATACTTAACTTTAGAATATAAACTTGGCACAATAGTTCTTTTCAAACATTGGACAGAATATGCATACCATTCAAAAGAGATAAAAATTTGTATATTTGCATAGGGCCCCAGATAGCCAATCTGTGCATGTAGATATAGCAACATCTGCTGAGCAGAGTTTGTTATAAATTTCTGATCCTAGAAAGGTTACAAATTTTATAGAATCTATTTTATCTAATGATGTTGTCAAACTGTCAAATCTGAAAGAGTTTGCTGATATGCTATGCTATCAGATTGACTGTAGATTGGCGACAAAAACCGAGCAGAGCCTGCTGCATACAATTTGGTGGCAAAATCTCTTCGGTTTCCGTCGCTAAACTGTCGTCAAATCATGTTAGCAGACCCTATCGAACACGAATCTAATACAGATACAGATTGTTTTGTTATGGGATTCTGATTGAATTACTATTAATTGAATTGCTACTAATCTGTCAGTATACTACTAATATTTTGTTCATTGGGGTAGGAGCGGCTAACACAATTTTATTCATCATATGCGGATTCGTAGTATTTGATAAAAAAAAATTGGTTCTATTTTTTACAAATAGTTTTAATTCAATTGCTATGTTTTTCATATTAATAATTAAACGATTGCATATGCAATTAGTAACTTTGTAACCAGAGTATATATTGAATATGAACATTTTTCCTTCAAGTTCTAAAAATGAACATCTGTTTTAAATTCTATGTCTTAAACTAAGAATCGTTTAGCTATTTATATCGCTAATACAAAAATGGAAATTGAAAATTCTACAAATATAACATTTATCAATTCATAAATTAAAATCATTGCTTTTAATAGTACTTATTTATCAAGAAAATACATTTTTGTTTACTCTTTTACACTTAATTAGACTCAGTATATTCGATTATATTCTGAAAAACTATATGAACTTTGTTAGTCATCTGATATTTATACAAGCTATATACAAAAATGTCTAGTTCATAGACGTATACATAATTTTCAATAATAATTGTAAGCCTTTTCCCTAAAACAAGAATGCAGTAGAAAGTTATTCATCACCTCGATAAAAAAATGTATCTACAATATATGTAACTGTTAGACACTGATAAAATAGTTACACAAACACTAAATAGAATGATTTATATTAAAGTGATAAATAACTTTATAGCCAGGATGCTACAATGCATAAATGAGTATAAACATACATTTTTTATGTCGTCTTATTAAAACATACGCAATTATTTTTCTCTAAAATAACTATTCTATCTGCATTCTTAAATCTTTAGTTTTTTTTTTAGTGGATTAAAACAATAACTTAACAACACGAAGTCTTTGCTGGTTCTGCTTCGACTAGATTAAAATCTAAACCACCAGGTCTGGCAAAGCCAGTTTTGATGCCATCCCAACCATCCTCTACTTTGTATTCGCCTGTTTGTATCCTGTTATAAACTTCTTGTGTAACCGTTCGAAATGCTTCTTCAACGTTTACACCAGTTTTTGCACTGGTCTCAATATGATGTATACCATGCTCATCAGCAAATGCTCTAGCTTCTTCCTTTGATACTTCTCGTCTACCACCATTAGTTACTAAATCCAACTTACAGCCTACTAAAGCAAATACCGGACGATGTGGCTCAATATGTCTGCGGGCTTCCATCATCCATTGAGGAATATGTTCAAAACTTGCTCTGTTGCAAACATCGTAAACAAGAAGTGCTCCAACAGAGTTTCTGTAGTAGGATTTTGTAATTGACCTGAATAAAAAAAGAAATTTAATAAGATTTATTTTATTAGCAAAAGTTACCATATATACATACAAAGAAAATTTTATATTATAAAGAAAAAAGTAATTATATAAGTAATTATAAAGTAGTTATATAAGTTTTTATATGTAAAATAATTCTCAAGTTTTATAATATTATTCTATATGTATAAAGATATATATACCTAAATCTCTCTTGACCAGCTGTATCCCACAATTGTAATTTTATTCTTGTCCCATCTTTAACTTCTATTAATCTTGCAAAAAAATCTACACCAACAGTTGGATCTGAAAGCTGAAGTTATACAAAAGATATTAAATATAAAGGAATTTTGTCTATCTTATATGTTCCTAAATAAAAGAACATAATTATGATATTTCAACAAATATTAAAGTATATCATATAATTTTTTAAAAGAACATTGTTTTTTCTATTTCTAAAAATTGTATATACCATATGTATCTCCAGAAAATAGTAATATTATTCTAATATTATGTATAATAAATAACAGAAGTTAAATAACACAATATAAAGATACAAATATATAAGATTCTATGTTTAATGTTTAGAAATAAATAAATAAATAAATAAATAAATAAATAAATAAATATAAAAATATAGTAAGTAAAAATAAAATATAGTAATAGTAAAAAAATTGAAATATGCAAATTGATATCAAATTATAAATTAAATTCGTATCCTAATATGTCAAAATTGTATGGTGTACCAAAAGGTCTGTCTAACCTAATTAAATTATCGAGTATTGACGTGAGCGTCAATCGGAGGAAATTAGTATCGCGTCATGATGAAAATTTTATAGATTACGAGGTCAGTCGGTTGCGGCGCAAAAGCGCTATGTTCAATTATGAAACAGACAAAGTAAACAGACGAAAATAGTGCGCAAATTCATCTAATGGCAGCCTGTTACGATTTGCACTTGGTGATTAGCGCGGTGGCATGGGTATATGACGTACGAATTTATCGCGTACCTCTGCGAATTTGCCATCGGTGAAGTACTTGAGGAGAGAGCTCTTCCCTACTGTACTGTCGCCGATCAGTATCAGTCGAAACTGATAGTCGAAGATAGGCTCTACCATTTTAATAGATCGCGTCAAGTACGTTTGTTGCCGTCGTCGTCGTCGTTGTTGTTGTTGTCGTCGTCGTCGTCGTTGATCGGACGCGTGCGACGTATTCCTCAACAATCCACGTGCATCTCTTGCACTGGCGTATAGTACTCGTTGAGAAGCAGACACAGGACAGCACAATTGACCGTGACATTAATCATCAAAACCTCCGCGCGACTATCATCGGATACAAACCAAGTGGTACACGCTGCGTCATGGACGTCTTACCACTGTAATTGGAGTTGCTTATGCGATTTTCTACTTTATGCGTACATGTATAAGGCTGAAATTTGTGTGACTTCCGACCCAGGATATTGTGAGGAATATATGACACTGACTGTACAAATTCTTCTCTTAGGAAAGAAGGGACTGCTTTCAACGCCGCTTACTCCTGGACCCGGATGTGACTTTTCCATTTTAGTTTGGTTATGCCCAAGTACAAAGGCAGATGGCGCGGTAGTGTTTTTGTCCCCACCTTTCCAAGGTGGGAGTTTGTACCTCTGCTCGCGCAGGTGTTACCTCGCTCACGCGCGCGCACGCACGTTTCAGCAAATTGTCATGAACTAAATGCCACGAAAGATTCGTAAGCTCACCGCGCGGAGCGCCGGTGTGCGAGTGCGACCTGTCGAGACGGATGAATGGCGTATTTATGTGTTTCAACGCGCAGCTTCGTCTATGTTCCCAAATTATCGCGGCCCGTATTCACATCACGAGCGTTCTAATTTACCAGGTGATCTGTTTTCATACGGTAGCTTCGGTCGGCCGGGCCTCGGTGGAGCCGTGTCGCAGAAATCGCAACATCACTCGGTAGGCGTTGTTGCTGTCATTTGGCTTCCCTCGCCCCGCGCTGTTTTCACGAATTTTCACGCCACTCCTGTATTTCTTATGTGTTACCCTCTACCTTAGTGCGTAGATCGGTTGAATTCAATCGACTAGAAACGTTTGAAAGGTGTCACGAGGTGCTACGATCGAAAATCAGACGTGTGCGAGCCAATGTCTGACAGATAGAATCCACGGACTTTTATCTTTTCTTCGTAGACAAATCACTACATTGGATGTAATTTCTAGTACAGTTATAGCATTATATTGTGTCATTGTTTAGTATGCTATATTCTAATAATTATTTTTCCTTCTTAAAGGTGTTACAATGTTTACCAAGAAGAAAAAGAAACCTCAGATCTCTACGCCAACTAATTTTGAGCATAGAGTACACACTGGGTTTGATAAACGTGAGGGCAAATTTGTTGGTTTACCATTGCAATGGGCTTCGATAGTGGGCAATAACCAGATTTTGAAATCAACCAATAGACCGTTACCTTTAGTTGATCCAAGTGAGATCACACCTACTGAAATCCTTGATTTGAAGACTATTGTAAGGGGACATAATGATCCTAGGATAGGTAGACCATTAGTAAATGAAAAGACTATGGAGAATGGTTTGCCTAAGACCAGTACAGTTGCTCGATCCAATTCTCTGCGTTCTTCAAGTCCACCACGGATGAGGCGAGATTACAGGTATCATGAAATTCTTATATTTGATTTACTTATTGGATAAAATATATATATTTTTATAACACAATTACATACAATCAAAATCTTGTATTATAAAGATTATTATATTTTGTAAACTTTACAAATTTAGTATATTAACTGCTACATTGATTATCCATGTTGAGTAACATACAAGTTTTCATAGGAGACCTGTTACTTGTTTGTAGATGATGGTTTAATCCTATCTTATTAGGAACAAACTTTTTCTAAGTATATATTTACAAGAATATCAAGTAAGAATACTGAATTTAGTATGAGAATCAATATGTTGATGTAAAAGTTAATGTAAATTAATCAAAATCAGTGTAAAAATGCAAAGCATGTCAACACATTAAATATAAAAGTTTTAATAAAATTAATGATTATAACATATGTTCAACTTGCAGGCATAACAGTAATCTTCCACCATCCGTTCCTGAAGGCCAAGAGATACCTTCAAATGTTAATCAAGGTTTTGCAAATTTTGGCAAGCCACACAACTACATCGATAAGCTGAGACAGAACTCCCCGAGTGTTGGTAGCGGTCTAAATTCCAGCATGCAAAATATGATTCCAAATCTACAAAATCTTAATCCTAACATGCAATCGTCGCCAAATTTAACCCATTCGGGATCGAACATACCAAATTTATCTTTAAATTTCCAAAACTTAAGTCCTATTGTAAACTCACAAGTTCCAGTACAAAGTCCAACTACTCCGCAACTTCCTGATTCGGAATTTCATAGACTCAATTCGCAAATGGTCATGACATCGGGTCAATATAATGGCAATGTACAGGTAATTATAGAACAGGATTATGATTATAATTAATATACATGTTGCTTAAAACTCGTTCAAGATAACATTTAAATTTGAGTATACAATAATTTATATAATTTAAATTTAGAGGAGTATGATTTAAATTTCTATGATTTGAATTTAGATGATTATGATTAAGTTGTCGAAAACTTTTAAGATAAATTCAAACCTAGCTTATTATTACTGTTATATCTTATTATATTGTTATATTGTTTAGTTATTATATTGTTTAATCTGCAGGGTTCAACTGTGGATGCTTCAAGGGAGCATCAAATGGGTCAAAATGTATTACTACATAAGCTACAGCCAAAAATTTCACCAGTCGGTTCAATAGCGTCGCAACGACCTCTAAGCCAATTGAGTTCGCATAATATTAATAAATATTCTCAGGCATATAACATGTCTGAAAACCCATCTAATCTACAGTCACATTTAAAGAAGCCAATGGAAACTTCCCAATCAATGCATAATTTATCAAAACCAAACATACCATCCACTGTATCAGGCAGCAGTTCCACCCCAGATCAAAATCAAAACATGAAAAGTGCTGTCTCCTCAGGAAACTTAGCAGTTGGTACAAGTTCAAACAATGCAAACAAGCAAACGGCGGAACAGAGACTTACACATGAACAATTCAGAGCTGCTTTACAGATGGTGGTATGTAAAACGTTTTAATTAAAATATATTACAAAGTTTTTTTATAAAAAAACATTCAATCTTTATAAAAAATGATCTCTGAATTTTTATTCAAGTAAAAATCTCTACATATTGTTCTTTTATAGTTTTACTAATAATGATACATATTTTACATGTGCATTGGCATTTAGGTAAGCCAAGGTGATCCAAGAGAAAATTTGGAAAATTTCCTAAAGATTGGCGAAGGTAGCACAGGAACTGTATGCATTGCTACAGACAAGAGTACAAATCGTCAAGTTGCAGTAAAAAAAATGGATTTAAGAAAACAGCAAAGACGCGAATTGCTTTTTAATGAAGTCGTTATTATGAGAGACTATCATCATCCGAATATTGTCGAGATGTATGATAGTTTCTTGGTAGATGACGAATTATGGGTTGTTATGGAATATCTAGAAGGTGGTGCATTAACTGATATTGTAACACACTCAAGGATGGATGAGAGTCAAATAGCTACAGTGTGCTCTCAGTGTCTCAAGCCATTGGCATATTTGCACTCGCAAGGTGTTATACATAGGGACATTAAATCTGACTCGATATTACTTACGGCAGATGGCAGAGTAAAATTGTCAGATTTTGGTTTTTGTGCTCAAGTCTCCCAAGAATTACCAAAGCGAAAATCTCTCGTAGGAACTCCGTATTGGATGAGTCCTGAAGTAATTTCAAGGTATTTTATATATTATTTCTTTTTTTTTTTATTATATTTGCTCACTTTTACTGCTTCAAACTTAAAGTAAGTGTTTCAATGCATATGATGTACGAATTCTCAAAACGAATTTTCTACTCCATACGAGCTATTATTGTAATAACTACTAATTTCAAATAATTAGATATTATTTGAAAAACATTATTTCAACCATTAGTTAAATTAATTACTACATCCATTAGTTGAATTAATTGCTACAATCATTAGTTGAATCAATTGCTACAGCTATTAGTCAGATAAAACTAAAAAGGTATCTTTATTTCATTTCTTCAAATATTCTCCAGGTTGCCATATGGACCTGAAGTAGATATCTGGTCATTAGGAATAATGATCATTGAAATGATCGATGGTGAACCACCATTTTTCAATGAACCACCTCTGCAAGCTATGAGACGCATCAGAGATATGCCACCACCAAAATTAAAAAATTCTCACAAGGTATGACTATTTTTATTTACTATTTTTACTATTATTTTTTCTACTAAACTCGGCATAAACATTTTTTCTTGATTTAACAACTATTGAGCTATGTTTTAATTAAAGAGGTGAATAACATTTTATACTTATCTATAGGTTAGTCCACGTCTTCAAGGTTTCTTGGAACGAATGCTCGTACGTGATCCAGCACAACGAGCTACGGCAGCTGAACTATTACAACATCCATTCCTCAGGCAAGCTCAAAGTCCTAGCATTTTGATTCCATTAATGAGAGGTGCTAGGCATACAAATTGTTAACGAGGCCGTAATAACTTTGTAAGTTGGAATATATTAGTCAACGCGGAAACTGATTACAGCAATAATCATATCGTCAACGATATAGACAACTTGTTTACTAACTGTAGCTTTTGGTAGTTTGTGAGTTAATTAAAGATGATCCTCACAGACTAAGAACTTCAAAGTAAAACTTTGCAATAGACACGATCGATTAAATGACGATATTTATATATTATCAAGTAATTTAATTTTACATATATATGGAGTTACTTTTTTCGCTATCCAAATTTAACACATTTTTGAAAACGGTTTGGTTAGCAGTTAAAGGAAAGAAACTTTTTCCATATCTTTTTATGGAAAAAAAACTAACTCCTGTAATATTTTGCATTTATAAAAAGTCATTAAAAATATGTGCAGCACTATACACTGCAATATGCAGCCGTAATACTATTTGATGTGACATATAGAGTTAAGATTTTTCCTTCTTTTCAATCTTTTAAGTAAATAATTCATGTATTTTTTGTTATATACTTTCATAAGGCATTGACAATATTGGAAAATATTGACAATACTTGCATTAATATTTTCACAACATTTTTACAATATTTTTGAAAAAGATTTCCTATTTCCATTTTCACGTTATACTATGCTTAATGCAGTTACAAATCATTGGAACGTTTATTTCATTGGCATCTATTTTTTTACAGCATCTATACTATTTACTATTTTTTTAATTTGTATTACGATATTCAATATGTTCTTTGAACTTTCTTTGGTATTTGTCAAAATACGGATGTTTTTCTTTAATGTTCACATGAATGTATTATAACTTAATATAATATCTTGAAGCTTTAAAGCTTTCAGAAAACACAGAAAAGTTTAGTTTTCTGAATTTACATAACGGCCCAATTACTTAATAGTCTAACGTTAATATGAGTGAATATGAGCGCGTTAATATTAATGCGAGTAGACATATTCTTAAGAAGACTTTGAAAAATGTTTTGATTTAAGCCAACTTTAAGTCACTCTCTTCGGTCGTGTCTAATATATACATATTGTAATGTATATATATATATATATAAACTTATAATTATGTTCTAGAGAGTATAGGAGAATCTTTAAATCGTGATAAATTGTTATTCAAATTTTACATTCCAGTCCGACCTGAGCTTGCAAGTATTATTTTTAAAATGTGTTATTACATTCCTGTATTATTTTATGTGTCATTTTAATTTTTGATATATCCACGTTTATGAAAAGGACATTTATAATATGTGTCAAAAATATTCCTCAAGTATTGGCATTGCCTGCTTGACTCGTAGTAGTCGCTTTAATGTTACGATAAATATTTGTTACTTAGGTATTTATAAAACAAATTTACTGGATCAAGTGCCTTCATGATAAGCCTTGTCGCAACAATTAATCTCTTGTGTAAAGCAGAAATATTATTTGTTTTGTGTAAAGTGCTCATACGCATAAAGCAATATCTTCCTCTTATTATTATTTTCTTACTAAATTTATATAGTGAATCATAGTTAAGGTAGTTGGTCCGTAAAACCATCTTTTTAGAGATTCTTTTAAATTTTACGTATTTCCTTGAAGAGTAAGCGTCCTATTTTTAATTTTTATTTCGACTTTTCTCTAAATTAGATTTACTTTAATGAGAAACTTATATGGATAATGAAGACCAATTACATATATATTTATCATATTTATCATAATTACGTCTCGAATTAACATTCATTAGGTAGTTAAATAAATGTATAGAAAAGTAAAAAATTTCTTGTTCGATAAATAGTAAATTTATGAGTCTTCTTGATACCACTACTGAAAATTCGTCATTCTTTGTCACGCAGATTCTGCACGGACGAACTACTTTAAAGTAATCTAACATATTTAATTTTACTCTTCCGAATAACAGTGACATTATATTTGCAACAACTTTGAATTTTTATACTATACATTTGTTTCATCAAAAAGTATAAATACAGATGTTAATAGCCAATCAAGAAAGACTGGAAGATATAGTTGACTGTTATTAAAATTTATAATAACTTGGCAAAATTATTACACGGAACATCCGAAAAGTAATGTAACAAATAATTTTTTTCATACACAATTTATCATAAAGATAAGACTTTACGTCACTCACACACATGTCATTGTAAAAACTTACTATTGCGTAACGAAAACGTTTGGATAGAACTGAATACATGATTGCGAGACATTCAAGACTAGCAACATGTAAAGTATTATTTTTGTCCAACAAAACTGAGTTGAAATAGTAAACGCGTTGCATTGCTTTTAGGATGCGCTTCGAACAACACATGTATTACGAAAAAGATATTGATGTTTGTGAGCTGTCAATCGTAATATGTTATAATATTGTAATAAAAATTAAATGTTATCGATCTTCCCGCATTACACACAGAAAAATATACATACAATGTTATATGTAAATATTGCAGAAGTGATATAGCTTATTCGTAACAATTTCACGTCCAAGTTATATATAGATGTCCTCTATTATTTTGTAACACAAGCTGCCACAGTTGATAAAATCATATCCGTAATGAAAAGTATATTTTATTACAAATGCTATGGCTCTATCAACAATTATATCACTTTATAATGTTTACTTACATAAATTAATCATGTGAATGGACATTCAAGTGATAGGAGTGAAAAATAATAGAGATGTGTATACAGTAAAAGATACAGTAAGCAAGTTAACGAAAATATTTTTAAAAGTAATTTACATTAGATCACATTAAGTAAAAATTTTATTGCGTAGTATTATGTTGACGAATTAAAAATGTACAACCAATTACGGCGCGTAATTAGACTATTATTTAAACCAATACTATATATGAACAGGGTTACGATACATCACTTAAGGTAATCCGAATGAATGTGAAATATGTTGTATGGATATCCTCGTGGAAGAATATTTACAAAAAAACATGTAATTTTAATAAAGAATCTTATTTTCTAAAAAAACACAACATATCAGCATATGTGAAGATTAAAACTGTATGTGGATGAGAAAATCGTGTGTGATTCTTTGATAGTAATAAATATTGTGTATATTTAAAATGTATATTTCTTTCATCGTGTTATATTGTTTTTTATGATTAAGGTTATTATATATCATAATTTTTTAACTAGAAATTTATGAATTTGATTGCATTTATCACAGTTTAATTTAAGAAAAAAAAAAAACAGATTGTAATACACCTGACATTTGTATATTCAACTATTGCATCGCATTTTGGGATTATCAAATTTTTAAATATTATGGAGTATACGCTGTTAATCGATTGATCTAGACTTATGAAGTGCTATTTTATTGAAAAGCTAATGAGTGAAACTAAACTTATTCACAAATGACATGAGAACAGTTAAATAATAGTGAGCAATTTTCTAAAGATAATAAATTTGTAAACAATGCATTATGTAACATCTATAATCATTTAAATAGATTTGTGTCTGGCCATACTTGCCATATATTTAAGCAATTATGTTATAATGTTATAATCGAGCTAATACAAAATAACCCTGTATTTTTACAATAATGTTGCAGATTATGAACTATTCTGTATATACGCGTATAGAAATTTTAGTTGCAATGTAATTTGACTACGCAGGCGCCAAATTGACAAATTCAAGTCAGTAGACACGTTATAAAATATGGTATAGTATTCGAAAAATTGTGTATGTATATGCAGGATTATTTTACACACATATGTTGTACATTTATTGCATAATAAAAAATTATTTACAGTAATCTACCAACTTTAATAAGCACTTTCAATACTTGTGATAAGTAAAACGCCACATATATATATTATGTTGAAATTAAAATGGTTATAGAATTAAATGTAATATAATATAAGTATTATAAATTTTTTAATAATGAATTTTTCTTAGTAGATACACGAAATTTTGAAAAAAATCAATCTGATTTAATTTATAAATTACAATTTTATAATTTTCAGAATAGATTCTTGATAATTTTTTCTAACTCATCTACAGAGTATCTGAACTTACGTGTCGGACTGGTTGGCTAATTTTTTTCGTTAATATGTAAAAATATTTAATAATAAGATAGTTTTTGTCTATTCAGTTCAATGAATTCTACATATATATAACCGGTCGGACACTTCTGCTTAGACACCCTGTATATTTTAGACAATGCCACAATTGTCCGTTCTTTTTCACGTGATAATTTTGGCAGTGATTTTGGTATTTTTAATGTAATTGGACATCAAAAGAATTTTCTCCAACACATATACATCGAGGGTCGAGTTAATCGACACTCGGGGTTTCCCCCCTGGTGGTCACGTGCGGTACGCTGTTACCATGCGAGTCAACGCATTCCGGGCTGAAAGGCGTTCCGGAGTGGTTGTTGCTGATTGGTTGAGTGCGACGAGCCTCTGACAGGAATGACCTTCGCATTCTGGTCGATCCATTGGCGCCACTTAAGGATCCCTGTTTAAAGTGATTAGCGTGCGATTCCATCTAAGAGTTGCGAGCATTAAGCTGATGCTTTGCAGCAATGATGTGTACTATACTTCCGTTCCTGAATCTACGCAGCACATAGTATCGACGAATGTAGATGTCGAGTATGTCCTGAATAGGACAAGAAACGGAAAGTCCGAGATAAGATTGACGCTCCTGGATATGTGCGAATACGTAACTTTGTTCGAAAATGATGAAACCATTAAACAAAAAAGTGTTGCTTTTTGCTGATTTAGTATTGATCGCACAAACGACACGCGAATTGCAACCTTTTTGCGCAATGCGCAAGGTCGTCATTCACATCGTTAAATACTTAAATGAAACACAATTTTGTTTCACATGTTCTTATTTACAAGTTCTGTGATATCGAATAACAGTTTTCAACCAAAGTTATTAACATAATTGCTGAGTCACTTAACATTTTACAAAATTATTCTATACGTTAACTTCAACAAATCCTTTATAAATAAATAAATTGACGACCTTATAACAGTTATTTTTTCGGTCGATATTTATGCTAACTAATACAGGTTATTCTTCTTTTTTATGTTTATATGTTTTTGTGTTAATATATCATACTTTCTAATCGTCATTTCATTATTGTCTGTGCGTGAATTTAAGCTTTTTTTGCGGGCGTGCACGATGCCTGCTTTGACCATGAATATCATTAATGACGCTATTATTAATATGTGTTGCAATCTTTTTGTAATAATACATCGTGTTAGATTTAGCTGCCACGCCAATGTGCAGCGCGCTAGTAACAGGATGTCGCTCGACTATCAGCAATATATAATGTAGCAATATATTGTGTTACAAGTGAAGACACACAGAAAGCAACGGTTACGAGAGATCCGTGGGATGATTGGGCACTTATTTTTTTTATGAAATGTGGTCCTTTTAACAGGCAAGTGGGCGTGTTGGTACCTTGCATGCGGTTAGTCAGGTAGACGAGAGTTTACCTGGTGGTTGTCGGGTCGCTGGAAAGTGTACCGACACGTCGCTGGCAAATTAACGTGAGCCCGTGCACGTAGTTCGGCAAATTTCATCAGCTTCGCCGGGAACGTCATGAAATATCTCAGTCATCACCGTGAATGAGAGTTTCCCCGAAGGAAAAGATATCGTACGTGGATATTAATATATCTGGAATCAATGAAAAATATCTTTTTTGGTGACTCTTGTGCGCATATATTGAGCGATTGCACAATCATATTTATTCCATGAATAAATCTCTTACTGCTCGACAATAGCAAGACTATTGTAAGGAATCTTTCGTGCCCTTCCTGGAATACCGTTTTGCTGAAACTCTTCATTTTTTTCTTTTTTCAAGGTGAATTACGGCACGTTACTTTCAGGAAGTCGTCAGTCGTGATTGTTGTTGTTTTTTGCAGAACGCCATCCGCTTCCGTGGTGTGTTCTTCTTACGTAAATAAAAATTTGTAATGACAGTAATAGTCTCTGACGTAACAATATCGGGTTATTAGCGGACTACGAGCACTTTGCGATGGCCAATGGGAACGTCGCTTCCGCGGAGGCTCGACCGGCTCGCCTCGTCACCGTACGTCGTCGTGGGAGACCCGCGGCCAGTCGCTTTCAAGGAGAACCAATGGGAAAGTTGGCGCCCGTCTGCCGCTACTTGATAAAATTAGCCGTTTATCTCATCCCGATCATATGTTACGTTAACTGCAGATAATATGCTGCGTTGTAATTCGTAGTAAGTCCATTGCGAAAACGAATCTACCTGTTTATTCAGTAAAATGACACGTACTTCTAATTATACAAGCAGCTTATCAAGCGTTATCGTTACGTCTAGCTGCCTCTTAGATAGCCGTTTTAAAATATAAAAGTAGAATGCAAAAGTAAAATGTAAAAGGCTTCCAAGTGGAAAAATTTGCAGGAAAAACTCGTTACTAACCAGACATTATCAGGAAGCCAGTTTTCATTGGATATCAGATAGTAACTGTTCAGAAATTGAACGAGAAAATACTAGCCAATAACTCAAATTCTTGGCCAGTTACTGGTTGGAAAGAGGTCGCATTTTCTGCTTTGCCTCTTCTTTCGTCAAGCATCAAGTCGTAATATTTTTAATCATAATATTTTGCTGATTATTATGATCTCGCGTTTATGATGTAACTAGGACAGAGAAGGGATACACACGAAGCAGTGATTTTTATTGTTTATCTAATATGGATTACGAAATAGAAAATGGAAGAATATTTTACATATTCATCGAGTATCTCGACTGTGTGTGCGCGCATAGATAGCCAACACTGGTTAAAATTTTTCCTCGTACGAGCATCAGTTTGCGTCAAATTTAAACGAAACAAAATGTCTTACGTGGAAGAGAATTTTAGGATATTCCTCAGATTATATTTTGAGAAATGTCACAATTTGACTTACGATTAGTTTGCTTATTTTACGGAAATCGTCATCTTTTACATTACCATGCCGTAAAGATGTCGAGATGGACTTCAGACGCGTTCCACAAATTTCTGCTGCGCACGTCCTTTGCTCTCCCACTACGACAGTTACAAATGAACGTAGACAAAGGACCTTTCTCCTGCGTACCAAAAGTTTCGAAGGAAGTTTGCGTCATCCCGTTTAGCGCCTTTCATTGGAGAGCCTCGCCCATATTTCTTTTTTTCTTCATTCGTTACCATGTTTCTTGTAAAGGTAAATATAAGAGGGACATATGTATTTCGTAGTAATAAATAGATAGCAGAAATGCAAATTAACATCAATGTTTTGCAACAGCACGTTCACGAAATTTGTGATTATACTTTCGTCGCTGTGGCCTTTTCGATCTTATTGATGTGGCATGTGATGTTTATGTGCAACACGTATGACCATGCATAATTATCATATAAGAATGGCACATCATACATTTTTATATATTATCATGTAGGAACAGCTGGCACAATATATCGTCGTGCGCTATTTGACGTATACAGCTGGATGTCAGCCCGTATAATAGACTGTACAGTCGTTGAAAGGTTACTTTTGTTTTAGATCAAAGATATGAATTAAGTAAGAAAGAATACCGACAGAAACTTCGCATATTCTGATAATTTTAATCACAAGTTTTATCAAGTTTTCTAAGTCTGCTTAGTGACATTTACTTCGTCGAGTGTTTTACACAACATCGATGTAATCGTAATATACGGATCTTACGTCATTCGTTCAATCACATACTAAAATTCGCCAAAGTAGGATGTTACGATTATTTTATCTCTTTTACGATAAAAAATAAAACTAGAGATATGGATAACGCGTTTGTGTTATATCTCGGAAAAATGGCCTTCTCTGAGATATTCAGAAACAATTATTTTTCATCTCAAATACATCAGTTTAACTTAGAAAAAAATTTTAGCAGAAATTCGATCATTTTTTAATAATCCACGTCGTGAAACGTTCGTGACATTATTTTCTTCTAAGCTCTGAAGATACTATAATGAGTACATAAAATTATTATCCAGGATCCGCTAACTGTAGATGCTCGGAACGATCGGAAATTGAAGATAATATCTAAGAACAATTTACAATGATTTATATTGACAAGTAATGCTTTGCTGTTTAATAACAGGAGCGTAGAATAAAAAATCTTTGGAAACACTTGTAAACACCTCGCAATCTTTTGCTTACTCATAGTGGCTCGTCCACTAATACAAATAAGCGTGAAAATTAGATAATAAGATAATCTTTTACATCCTGGTGTATCCATAACAGTTACGTATTGTTCTCTTTTTCACATATAAAACAAGACAATTATGTAAGATAATTGTATATATTTATATAAGCGAACTTTTTTGCGACGAATAACGTGTCTGAAATTGTTGGATTAATTTGGATTTTGATTTTGAAATGAACTCTTTAGGTAGTTTCTCTTTCTACATTAATGACAAAACAAGCGCACGTCCTGACAGCCGACTCGCTTTGCGAGGATGCGGTTTTATTGCGACAGTTCGCGCTCTACAAGTTTCCGCGTAAAGTGTATCAGCAACATCACTATCGAAGATTGCAGCAGACTGAGAATTCTGTAGAGTGATGCAATCTGCGCTGCAACAAAGTAAATTCTTATGTGAAGGATATTCTGGCGGGATTGGCCGCAAAAACCGGAAAGATTAATAAATTGGAACTGACATGCAAGGTCCAAGCGAACACAAAGAAGAGTTCAATTGCGTTAAACTTGACCCCGTCGCGTGGCTAGACAATCATTGCTGAAATATCGCGTGCTGAAATATCGTACGATATCTACAGGTTGAATATTAATCGAACCGTTCGCCGCTTGCGTAAGCACGTCCTTGGATCCGGAAGAGTAGAACTAATGACGGATGAGAAGGAATTATATGTAGAAGGTTTTATGTAAGAGCGAATTGATATGCCTCCCGTAGACTAATCTCTTTCTCGCGCGGGTCTTAAAAAAGAAATATATAAGTAGCGTAATCGCACGTCCGACCTTTGCAGTCACGCGCCACCGTATCATGGAAATTGTAAATCTAGCCGCACACTTTGGATCGGAATAGCAACGCTGTTACCTGCCGGTGCTCACGGGTAACGTGAACGAACATTGTGTTACATGTATACTTTAGTTATAATTCCTGCTGTGGGCAGTACAAATAAAAATAAGCGTATGTTGGTGTCTGGGAAAACTAAAGCTCTATAACACTCGATACTCTAACAAAATCTATATATATATATATATATATATATATATATATATATATATAT